GACAACCACCATTCTACTTTCCATATCTGAATTTGACTATAGGCATACCTCGTTTTATTGCCCTTTGTTTTATTGTACTTCACAGATGTTGCATTTTTTACAAATGGAAGGCAAGACCCTCCACCAGCAAAAGGATTACGACTCACTTTATTGCAATACTTGCTTTATTGCAGTGGTTTGGAACTGAACTCGCAATATCTCCGAGGTATGCCTATACTTAAATACCTCACGTAAGTGCAATTATATGGTATTTGTCTTTTTGTGATTAGCATATTTCACTTAACATAATGTCCTAAGGTTTATCCATGTTGTAGATATGTCAGAATTTCTTTTTTAAGGCTGAATAATAATATTCTATTGTGTATATATACCACATTTGTTTACCCGTTCATCTGTCAGTGGACACTTGAGTTGTTTCTACTTCTTGACTATTATTAACAATGTTGGTATGACATGAGTGTACAAATATCGACTCAAGACCCTCCTCTCAGTTCTTTTGAGTGTATACCCAGAAGTAGAATTGCTGGATCATATGTTAATTCTATTTTTGCTTTTTTCAGGAACTGCCATATTGTATTCCATAGTGACTGTACCAATTTACGTTCCTGCCAACAGTGCATAAGGGTTCTGGTTTCTCCACACCCTTGCCAACACTTGTTATTTTCTGTTTGGGGCTTTTTTTTTTTTTAAATAGTAGCCATCCTGATAGGTGTGGGGTCTGCAGTCCTATTTTTAATGGCAGTAAATCCATTGTTTGGTTATTATAGATTATTAACCAATTTCTTCTTATTTAAGAGTTTGCTTGTTTCAACTTTTTCACTCTCAAAAATAATGCTGGGATTATTTCTGTTCATGTTTTGGAGTGTGTATATATTTGTTTTCTTTGGATATATAATCTAGAAATGAAATTTAAAGTGACTTTTGAAAGGAGGAGAGACATTAGATAGGTAGAAAAATGGTATGAGTATTCTAGAAAGGCTACAACCTTATCAAAGACAAGGAGGCTTCGATAGCATGATGGATTAGAAGGGCAGTTAGACCACCCTGTCCAGAATAGAGATTATCCAGGGTAATAGGAAATAAGTCTAGGAAGGAAGACAGGCATCAGAGTGTAGAAAACCTTGAGTACCAGCCTGTGAAGCTTGTCATTTGTCCAAAAGGTAATGAGTTAACATTAAAAGTTTTTGTACTGACAACGAAAACTTTCTAGAAGATGGTTTAGACTGGAATCAGAGAGACCAGTTAGGGGACTATAGTATGATAGAAGCATGATAGAGGGCAGGGAAGTTTAGATTTTATAAAGTAGGGTATCACTTTCAAAACTCGAGGGGAAGGAAAAAAATGCTAAGTTAATATATTTGTGTGTTAACCATGCTGCCAAAATATTTTGTATACATTGGAATGGTAGAGAAAAAATAAAAGACATTCGCAGTTACCCATGAAATAGGCAATTTCATGGATAGTTCAGAGTTGACTGTAAATGATTTTGTAATACCAGTGTTCTCTGTAAGCAGTTACTACTATAGTATAGAAGCAAGGGAAGAAATTTTTGCACAGTACTGGGTATAACGCCTGTGGTAAATGTTTCTCTGTCTCAGCTGCCTTCTCATTCAGCCTTTAAGGAATTCTAGTTTCTATATATGGTATTACTATTCTGCAGCGTTAAATTTGATTGAAATCTATTGATTTTTAACTCAGTATTTAAAGTTGTACAGTAATGCCATCTTCAGGTAGATTAACAGTTACAAATTGAATGTTTTTCTTTCTGATACCCATATTTTGCATTATTTATCTATTTAACAATTGACAAATATGTAGTTTCTTTCCCTGAAGTTTTTATTGTGAAAATTTTAAAACATAAAGAAAAGTGAAAGAATAAAACATGTTATACTCATATATACTTCACTTAGATAAAACATTTTAAAATTTTGTCATATTTGTTTTATTGCTGTATTTTTTGCTGAATCATTTGAAAGTAAATTGCAGGTGACATCATACTTCACTCCTGTATGCTTCAGTATTCATGTCCTAAGCATAAGGACATTTTTCTATAATCTCAATACCATTAATACACCTAAGAAATTAGTAATAATTAAATATCATATCACATCCAGTCCATATTAAAAATTTTTCAATTGCTTCAAGAATGTTGTATTAGAGCCAGTTTTTTCTTTTTGAACCAGGATCCAGTTAAGGCTCACATATTGCCCTTAGTTGTTGTCTTTTTATGTATTAAAAATGACATTGATCTAAGTGTCCAGGCCAATCTTCTTATAGAATGTCTCATATTCTCAATTTATTTGGTTGTTTCTCTATGTTGTCGTTTAGACCTCACAGTCCTATTGCCCTCTGTTTCCTGTAGACTGGCAGGTAGGTCTAGAGCAGGTTTCTTAACCTTGGGATCACAGACTCCATAGGTTTTGTGGACAGAATTCAGGGAGTCTGTGAACTTTGGATGGGGAAAAAATTACATCTTTATTTTAACTCAGAGTTTCTCAGCTGGGATAGTTTTGTCTTCTTTTTCAGTTACCCTGGTGTTAGACTTTGGAGACATTTTTGGTTGTCACTACTGGGTGGGAGGGTACTATTGTCATTAAATGGATCAAAGGCAGGGATGCATCTAAAAAGATCCCAACAACAAAGACTTGTCCAGTTCAAAATGTCAATAGTGCAATGGCTGAGATAAATCCTGCTTTAACTGGATTTTAGCATTTCTTTTAATTATGAATGTAGGAAACCCTTTACAGAGGTATTAGCATTACCTGTAACTTTGTCATTGATAGAAATTCAGATATTTTCATATCACATTAAATTGTTGCAGTTATCTCATAGTATTTATATTTATGCTCATTTTTTGCTTAGAGAGATTCACATTAGTTGAGAAGCAAAAATATGGCTATATTACAATGTAAAAAATGTAGTTTGATAGCCATACTTCAGTATAACTGTCCATTGTGATCTCATATATTTTATGCATTATAAACATTATTCTGGGAAGGGGTCTGTAGACTTAATCAGACTGACAAAGAAATCCAAAGGACCACAAAAGCTTAACACCGGGTTTTGAGGCTTGATTAGATTAGGTTAAACATTTTTGGTGCTAATGTTTCATAGGTAATGATGTTTATTTTATATTATCTTTTCATGAATCACTTAATATTAAGTTATCTTACTGTTTTTAATAATACTGAGTTTGATGACTTAGCTAAGGTGGTGACAGCCAGATATTTTCATTTTAAGGATACATTTTCCCTTTGTATTGCTAGGTAATCTGTGGGGTAATACTTTGGCACCATGTAAGTTTTCTGTTTCTGAACAACCTTTCACTTGCTGGCTTTAGCATACACTGATGATTTTTACCTGAATGGATTTTACATTGGAGGTTACAGAATGGTGATATTCTAATTCAGTCATTTCTTCTACATTCGTTACTGGCATTCTTCTGTAAAGAAGAGTTTTCCTTTTCCCATTCCAACCCACCCCATTTTCCTAATCTCTTCCCTTCACCCAAGTTATCACTCTGGATTGATAAAGTTTTGTTTATTCAACGTGTTGCACTCAGTTTTTTCTTTCTTTTTTCTTTTTTATTTTTTTTGAGTGCTCAAATTGTCCCAGATATGGCCAATAGAGCCTCTTTAACTTGGTCCTTTGTCCTTTTGATATACCCTACTGGTCTTTGAGCATATCCTTGCTTTCTGACATAAGAGTTCCCAGGATAGACTTGTTCTTTGTTTGCTTCAAGTCTGCTGTCAGGTATTTCTTCAAAGGACCATGATTTCTTTGTGGGGAATGATATTTAGCAATCAAAATCTGAGCACTTGGTGTGTTTATTGCTTCTGGAGTGATATTGCTTCTAGGCCCTTTTACTAGACGCTTTTAACTAAACTTTTAACATTAAAAGATGTTGTGAGCTATAAGAAAGAAAAATGTTTCTGACTTACTCATCCTTGCAAATTCTTTCTTTTGGAATGAGTGAGTCTGTTTATTTTTTTCTTTATCTGCCCAGACCCATGCTCTTATCTATTCACTCAGGGATTATTAGTAGCTGTCTAACTAATGCCTCTCTCTTCTGATCTGTTCTACATACCACTCATTTTATTCATCTGTAAAATATTATATACAGTCTGCATGCCAGAAACTGTGTTATGCACATAGACTACACAGGAAAATGGGAACATCAAGAAGTCCCAGTATAATAGGGAAGACCTATATAAGAACCAGAATTTCATTATGATTGGTACAAAAATAGAAATACATAAAGAGTGACTAAGTGTAAGAAAGCAAAGAAAGCTTTAAGAGAAGATAGTATTTGAGTATGGTATGATGTAATTTTGAGAAGATTACCACGTGAATTCCTTTATAGCTAGAGACTGTCCCTCTTTTCATAAGAAGAATTAGAGGTGTAAGAAAAAATAGAAAACTTTCATATGTTTCCAAATTCACAATATTTAAGGAGTAAATAAGGTGTCCCCCCCCCACTACAGAAATAATTTATAGGAGTCTAGAAATGTTTTTCCACAAGTTCCCATCTCCCCAAGTATTTCTAGCTTCCTAAGATGGCAGTTAGGATTTTTTTTTTTTTTTTTGCTGTAAAAACAACATGATGGTAAAAAGAATAAATAGAAGTTGTAGTATATTATTGTTGGAATCAGTATTTAATTTGATATCAAGCAATGAATGGGTGTTTAACATAAATTTTCCATATGTTTGTAGCTTACCAATTAAAATATCAAAATGTGTTTATTTTAGCCATTTTATTTTATAAAATTAACAAAAAAGTTAAATATGCTTAATATTAAATTTAGAATTGTCTTTACCAAGTACTTAATGGACAGAATTCTGTGTCATACAGTGTTTCCTATCCTTTAGATATTTCTTCTCTCTTAATTAAATATGTAAATGCTTTTATACAGAAATAACCAGACACTTAATATGTATGGATATAAATGCAGCAGGCCAATGATGCCTTTCAAACCAAGGGTCTGCTTAATTTTCCTAGGTATTTTTATACTAGTATTCTTTTGCCCCGTAGACCTCACCAGACTGCTAAAGAAGTACACAAGACAAAAAAGGTTATGACTCCTTATTGCTTAGAGAACCAACTATAATCTGGCCATACTGTGGGTGTGTATGTGTAAATATGATTTATTTGTCAGTACTTCCCAATGCAAACATTTCACTCTAGTGAACTCAGTTTCTACACAGTCTTATGATTATTCCATGTCTCTTACTTTTATTCATGCTGTTGTTTGCTCTCTGTTCAGGGACCTTGAGGAAGTTATTTATCCTTGTGCATTTTCTTAGCAGCTTGTTTCTTATGGTCTCAGTGAATGGTGTAATCGAGATGGCTTCTTTGCATTAGAAGGACTAAGATAGATATGCAAGGAAGTCTGGGAAACATAATTTTTAGCTTTCCATCAAACTAGAGGGGAGTAACTTGGCTTTTTTTTTTTTTTTTGGTAAACTTGTTAAACCACATGTATCTTTGTAAAAACAGTTAGTCTTTCTAGGCCTTTCTCTACTTATCTCTAGTATGAAGGAACTTAGATTAGGTGATCTCAAAGTTCCCTGTCAGCTATAAGCTTCTGTTTATATTCATTTTATATTCATAAAATATTTATTCATAAATATTTATATTCATAAAATATCGAATGTCTGCCATTGGATAGATATGTTCAGCAATACAGATTACCTACTCTCTAATAATAACACAAGTTCTTCAGTGTCCAGGTTATACACTACTTCTTTTGTAAAGTCTTACCTGACACAATAGCCTATATTATGTTGTCTTGCCCCACAAATTTCTTTCACTCCTTCTAAAAAATGTAGACATAGGTTAACTTGTATTTTGCTTAGTGTTTTGATTTTTTGATTACATATTGCAAGGACCTGAAAAATACTTTTATAATCATTTAATATAGTAGCAGTCACATAGTAATAATACATATGATAATTAACATTTATGAACACAAACTAAGGCAAGCAATGTTTTAAATGTTTTACATATATTCATTCCTTTGTTACAAAATGTTTATGAGGGAATCTCTTCATCTCCATTTTTACAGAAAAGGTAAAGCATACAGAGGTTAAGTAAATTTCCTCAAGATATACTGTTGATAAGCGAAGCTGGGATATGAACCCAGACAATCACATTTCAGATCCCATGCAGTAACTTACCCATTTTGTTATAATGAGTAATTACTGTATATTTGTTGAATGAATGGAATACTTTCCTCTTTAATCTATTATTGATTACAGCTTTGGTATCTATTTGCACTTTGTATATAAGACTGAGGAGAGGTCACTTTGAGGAGAATACTTTTTATTTTATTTTATTCATTCATTCATTCATTCATTCATTTATTTTTTGATGCCAAAACCTGGGAATGAACCACGGACCTTTTAGATAAAATACTTTTTAAACAAGGAGAAATAACTTTCTTAGCAAACTAAATATTGAGTTACTCACAATTAATAGTGAGTATTCAAATAATATACTCCGAGAGATTTTGAATAATGTGTCTGTTTTTGTAGTAAGCTTGTGACATGCATAATACTTATAGGTGAATTTTGATTTATATTAAGTGTCTTTATTATTTATTTCTTACTCATTTTCAGTTGAGTGGTGATTTAATGCAATGGCTTCAAGCCACAGTTCTTCACCAGTGCCTCAAGGAAGCAGCAGTGATGTTTTCTTTAAAAAAGAGGTAGATCCGACAAAACATATTCGACCTGTGCAGTCACTGCCAGATGTGTGTCCCAAGGAACCCACAGGTAATGCTTTTTTCTTTTTTTGAGGATTTTTACTGAGGATTTGTATTATCTTTGAGTAGTCAGATTTCTTATACTTATCTTAAAAAAGTAAATTTTATGATAAAACTAAAGAGATATAAATAGTTTGGAAGTAGATTAGGAAATTGGAATATAATTCTTTAAATGCATTTCCATAAAAGAAATTAGTTACATGAACTGAAAAATTGCTTTAAAAACGTAGATACAGATTGAAAGTTTTTTAAGCATAGTACAGCAAGTCCTCATTATTTATGTATTTTATATTTGCAAATTTGCCTACTCCCTAAAACTTGTTCATAACCCCAAAATCAATATTTGTGGCACTTCTGTGGACATTTGCAGACATGAGCAGAGGAGTGAAAAATTTAAGCACACATTCCCACCTGATGTTAAACAAGGCAACACTTTGCCTTCTTGTTTCAGCTGTCATGCTGTAAACAAGTGTTCTTTTTGTGCTCTATTTAGTGCCACATTTTTTGCATTTTTGTGTTTTTTGTTGGTGATTTTGCTTTTTTAATATGGTTCCCAAATGTAGTACTGAAGTGCTTTATAGTATTTTTAAGCACGAAAAGACTGTACTGTGCCTTATAAGAAATATGCATGTTTTGTAAGCTTCATTCAGGTATGAGTTATAGTGGTGTTAGCCAAGAGTTCAATGTTAATGAATGAACAATATGTATTAAATACGGTGTCTTTATACAGAAATATACACAAGATAATGTATTGATTGGTTGATGAAAATGTGAGCAGAGACTTGGAAGACTCTAACTCTGTGTTTCCACTAGGAGCAGTGGTTTAGGATTTGCTAATTAAGTGTTCCAGTGACTTTCTAGTACAGAGCTACTATAAATAACAAGAATCTACTGTATATTTTTCTTTCCTGTATAGTTAATGCCACAGCAGCATTTATGTTATCAAATTATAAGCCAAAGAAAGAATATTGGAACCAGTAAATCTGCCATCAAACCATTAAAAAAGGCCTACTTATGAAAAAAATTGGAGTATTAAAGCCTAGAAAGTATGCAGTATAGGGTAGAAGAGTTTTGATGTTGAAAAAAGATAAATTGTACAGTATGTACAGTAAGGAAAGGAACTAATGAAAGATTTTTTACATCCCAAACCACACTATAACTACAGCCCTCAAAATTTGCATATCCCTTATCTTGTACATGTTTTCCCCTTCCTTGGCAATTGATGCCAAAAGCTCAAGTTTGTTTAATCAGAATGATTTTTATTAAAACATTTGCTGCAGAAAAGAGAGTTGAGTTGCTTTGTATCTAAGCATTTTTATTTTCCTAGGATGTACTTTTAAACATAGAACTTACTTTACAGAGTTCTTTTGTTTACTTTTTACAGGTGATTCAAATAGTTTATGTGTTGCCCCATCTCTAGTTACAGATCAACATAGATGGACTATATATCATTCCAAAGTAAACCTCCCAGCAGCATTAAATGATCCTAGATTAGCAAAAAGAGAATCAGACTTCTTCACAAAAACATGGGGATTGGACTTTGTGGACACTGAAGTCATACCTTCATTCTACCTCCCACAGATCAGCAAGGAACATTTTACAGTATATCAACAGGAAATCTCTCAGGTAATACCTAATCTTGAATTATTTTCAGGTCAAAAGTAATTAGAAACATTTCTAGTTTGATTTATTATAGATTTTGACCAATAGTCTTTGAGGAATCTTCTTTTCTGTTTATGTATATTCTGTTCTGGGTTGTATTTAATTTTCTGCTTAGGTGTATATAAATATTTTTTTTTACTGAAGTGATTTTTCAGAAAGAAATATTTCTCATAGTACTGAGATTCAACTTGAAACCCATCGTACCTATCAAGGAGAATATAGTTCTATTAGGCCTGTAAAGCCCAGATAATTTGTGAGGTTTAAGAAATGAGCAGAGTGGAACTGTTTTTATGTCTCTCATTCATCACAAATAATTTAATAGAACATCCTAGGTCTAGCAGATAGTCTTAAATATCTCTAGACATGTTTCTTTAAACTCAGTTCTGAGAGCAAGAATCGAGTGCAGTGCAGAGTTTTAGATGGCTTGTAATTCATATTTAGTAAATGCCTTACCAATATAATCCTGGTTATCATTTCAGTCTTTAAAAAATCATCATTAAAATGATGCAAGGAATATTAAAAGTTATTTTTTAATTGAGATATAATTGTCATTAACATTATATTAGTTTCAGGTATATAACATAATAAAGTGATATTTGTTTATATTGTGAAATAATCACCATAATAAGTCTAATTAACATCTGTCACCATACATAATACAAGAAATTTTTTTTGTTATGATTAGGACTTTTAAGATCTACTCTTTTAGCATTCAAATATGCAAGTTTATTATTATAGTTACCATGCTTTACATAACAGCCCTATAACATTTATTTTATGACTCGAAATTTGTGTAGAGAATGTTTATTTACAATTTTACAATTATTCCTTTTTATACTTTTTTCATTTGCAATCCTAGTTTGCATTCAGCTAATTTTATTTCACTTCATTACTTTGTTCTTTTTATGATTTGGAAATAGGCTGAATGTGGCTATATTATTGGTATTACACAGTGTCTTGTTCATTTTTAGCACTACCTAATATTTTTGTACAGAATTTAAAAATATTATTTACTTTTGTATGTGTATATTGCTATATACTGTCTGGAATTTTTGTGTTCTGTTTTCAGCGATCACTTAACTGTGGATGTTGTTAAGTGGATGAGCTTTAATATGCCTTCTTTTTGATGGTTTCTAATCCCACACCTCATAACCTACAATTTGGCTATTCTGTTTATTCATTTATTGATCAAATATTTGTTGAGTGCCTTCCATGTGCCAGGCACAGTTCTAAACCTAGGGATACAGCAGAGACCAAAACCGACACCAGTTCCCTTCATTACAAACTTAACTTTCTAGCAAAGTATATAAGCAATAAACCCTAAAGCACCTACTAAAATAGCAAAACAAATAATTATAGTTAATAAGTCAGTGGAAGAGAGAACATGGAACGAAATAATTCTCAATCCAAACAAAGGCAGAAAAAGAGTAAACAGGGAACAAAGCATGGATGAGACAAAAAGAAAACATCAAGATGATAGATTTAAACCTAACCCTATCAATAATCACATTAAAATGTTAAATGTTTAAGCATTTAATCAAAAGTACTATAACAGAAATGAAGAATGCCTTTGGTGGATTCATCAGTTGACTTGAAATAGTAAAGAATCCATGAGTTTAAGGCAATGTTGATAGAAACTTACCTAAATGTATGGGTTGAAGTGAAAGCAGTGCTTAGAGGGAAATTTAATAGCACCGAATGCATATATTAGGAAAGAAGAAAGATCTAAAATTAAGCTTCTACCTTAGAAAACCAGAAAAAGAAGACAAAATTAAATCCAAAGTAATAGAAGAAAAGAAATAAATATTAGAGCAGAAATCAAGTGAAATTGAAAACAGGAAATCAATAGAGAAAATAACAAAACCAAAAGCTGGTTCTTTGAAAAGATCAATAAAATTGGTAAATCTCTAGTCAGGTTAATTAAGATAAAAGAAGACGTAAATTACTAATATCTGAAATGAAAGTGGCACATCATTCATGATCCCATGGACATTAAAAAGATAATAAAAGAATATTATGAATAAGTCTGTGCCCACAAATTTGGTAATCTAGATGAAACGGACCAATTACGAGAAAGATACAATCTACCAAAATTTACACTTGAGAAACACTGACTATACCAAATGCTGGCAAGGATGTGGACTAAGGAACTCTCATTCATTGTGGGTAAGAATACTAAATGGTACAGCCACTTTGGAAGACAGTTCTGTAGTTTCTGACAGAAATGCCATCAGAACTCTGAACACTACTAGCCCAATGTTTTTTCCTTACCATGCTCCACTCTTCTACGTAACCTATTTATGGTATTTCCAAAAAAATAACAATGTTGTCAGCAGTCATCTAATCTGAAATCAGGGTGGGATTTTTCTTTTTGACTCAAAGTGTCAACTAATAACTACCTTTCTATCTTAGGTATATAGGTTTTCAGATTTTCTTCCTTGTTTTATAAAAACAATTCTCTTAATTGATTTATGTAAGTAAGAACTTTTTATTTGCTTTCACGCTTTATTCTAATTTTATGGAGATTTTATTATAATTATGTGAAATGGGATCAGTGTAAATATATAGGTATTCATACATCTCAGTAATATTTGGTTTATTAAACATACTTGTTATTCGTATTTAAGTTCAAGAAGGTAGTGGCTTCATACTTAAAAATCATAGAACTAATTCAATATATTCTGATATTTTGTGAAACTTTTTGATGCTTTGAATATTCATATTGCTACATAGCATTTGATCACATTTTTATTTAATTGTCCTTTTATTAGAGAGAGAAGATTCATGAGCGATGCAAGAATATTTGTCCTCCTAAAGATAACTTTGACAGGACTCTCTTACATACTCATGGTATGAATATGTGCTATTCATAGATAATATATAGATGAATATGTGCTATTTGTAACATAGATAGCATAAATATTAATGAAACAAAATTTTAATTTGGGGACCTTGTTGGTTGTCATACCTATAATTTTTATTTCTAGTGAAATTTTTATAGCTTACAATCATAATCTTTTTAAAAAGCTTGTAAGAGAAAAATCTTGGGTCTGATGGTGCTGATGTCCTTCAGTTCAACAAATACTTATTTAATATCTGGGTGCTTGGTACTTTGCTTGTTGCTTAAAAATAGATGAAATAACTTTTCATCTATTTCTTAAAGATAAGAAATAGTCCCTGTTCTCAAGAAGCTGTTGGTCTTCTGAGTAAGGTTAAATAAATAAATAAATAAACCAAGAGTTGCAGTATATCAAGCAGTAAGTTCAGCATCATAAGATTGTATAGAGCTCCTAACTTAGCCTTAGAAGACTTCCTAGAGTTGATGATGATTGCCTGTGTTTTAAACTAGCTATCGAGAAATATTTATGTGGGCAAAGGCATTCCAGGACAAGGGAACAATTTATACAAAGCCATAGAATCAAGTGAGAAATTAGCATATTCAACAGAAGTTCAGTGTGTTGGCTCCACTGGGAGCAAGAAATGAAGCTAAAGAAATAGGTAGGAGTCAGATCAAGAAGAGCCTTGTGTGCCATGTGAAGGAATTTTTCTTTCCTAAAAGCAGTATAGAGCTACAGAATCTTTTTAACCAGACATGATCAGATTTATGGTTATACATTTCACTGTGGAAACAGTTAGGGATTATAAATTTATGAAGATAAAATTGGAGGCAAGGGGACCGTTGGAGGCTATTGCAATAATGCAAGTGAGAAATCATGTGGCCCCAATAGCAATTATAATGAAAATTGAGAGAAAATTAGGATTTTGAGAGACTGAGGCACAGGTTTTGATGGTCATTCAGTTGTTGGTAATACAGCAGGTTGATTGAAGCTTTCTTCCTTGGGCAGCTGGCTAGGTGAGGTGCAATTCAGCGCGAGGGGCAATATAAGGAGAAATTTTGCAGGAGATAGAGACTATTTTAATTGTACTTTTGCAGAGAAGATGTCTGGTATGCAACCTGGGGCTCAGATGGAGATGTAGGTATGGTAGACATCATAATATGATGTCTGGGCTGGAGATGTAGGTATGGTAGACATCATAATATGCTAGACAATAGCATGGTAGTTGAATCCAAGGGCAAGATGGGATCACCCAGGGAGGATGTGAACAGTGAGAAGAAAAGAACTGATGATAGAACACTAGGAAGCTGTCACATTTAAGGGGCAGATAGAAAATGAGGTACCTGTGAAGGAGACTAGAAAGAGATCTGGGCTGGAGATGTAGGTATGGTAGACATCATAATATGCTAGACAATAGCATGGTAGTTGAATCCAAGGGCAAGATGGGATCACCCAGGGAGGATGTGAACAGTGAGAAGAAAAGAACTGATGATAGAACACTAGGAAGCTGTCACATTTAAGGGGCAGATAGAAAATGAGGTACCTGTGAAGGAGACTAAAAAGAAGTAGAAATAGGAGTGTCAGCCAAGAGAGAGTTCTACCTTAGAGATAAAAGGTAGTGAGGATTTCAAAGAAGTGAGATGGATTAGTCTACAATATCAGAATTCTCCAGAGATAGATCAGTTTGCACACTGGATTTGACAATTTAGGAGATCTTAGGGAAAGCATTTAAAGTAGTGGTGGTGGTTACAGAAACCTCAATACTATATATTAAGGAGTGAGTACAAGAGAAAGAAATGGAGACTACCAGTATAGATGTGACTTGAAGATTTGAGATATAGAGTGTTGACTAGAGGAAACAGACTGGAAGAATGTTTTTGTATGGCCAGGACTAGATGAGGCAAGAGAGGCATTCATATAACTCTGACAGTGAGTGCGTCCTTAAATTTTGAACCTGAGGTCCTCCCTTGCCTCAGCCTAGCACGGGCCCTATGTTATGTCTTTTTCTTTCTCTTTTAACGGCAGAAAACTGAGCATATTTAGATGCAGAGAGGAAAATGCTATTAACAGGGGGAAGAGGTTGAAGATATGGAGAGAAGCAGAGTAAGTAGTGAAATGAGCTCACAGAAGAGGCAGGAGGGAATGGAGTCTAAATGCAGAAAAGTTAGTTTTGGGAAGGAGGGTATCTTTTCTGAGATCTGATTGGCGAGATGAAAGTAAAGTGGGTTCAATTGCAGAAAATAAAGTATTAAAAATCTTTGATCAAAAGATTCTGGATGAGATGGTGGATGTTTTGAACAATAAAAAAGCAATATTTACATTTGAGATTTTAATACATTTTTTAAACTATATAACATGCCAAACTTAATCTTACCAAACATAATAAGATGGCATTTAGTTTTCTGTGTCCATTTAAACAAGACTTGAAATGTATTTAGTTGTTTTACTGCTACTATACAGTTGATTTAAATGATTTGAAACATATATCTTATTCTGTGATTTGCCTACTACTAGGCTTACAGGAGGTGCTTGACAGATATTTGTTGAAGGAAGAAACTTAAGTGGTTGTGACAGTATAATCTTGAATCTGTCAAAATACATTTTATGAAAGTAAAATGAAAACAAGTTTAAAAAATCATGTTCTCTTTTCCCTTTTTTTGTAGATAAATCCAGGACAGATCTGGATCAAGTACCTAAGGTAACAAAGCTTAAAATATAAGAATACTGCTTTTTAATATTGATCTTTAATTTTGCCTTATAAGAAGCTTTCATTGGGCTGTTTCTGACACTATGACCATTTTACCTCTTCTGGGGCTTTGTTGCATCACTTTTCTTCTCTTTTGCATCATTCTTTTCTTCATCACAGAGACCTACACATATGTTTAAGTCTCCATTCTAAAGAATTTTGTTGATCTTACTATACTTTCAAATTATTAAAAGATATTTTCTTTGTAAGAAAAATTTTGTAGAGATGCGTAATAGATGAGGTTTTTTCCCTAGAGAAAGAATCCATTGCATTCATCAGATTATCAAGGAAGTCTGTGGTAATAGCTCGTTAGGGTGAGAAGAGACAGATAAACAAAAAGCAGAGGATGATCAATTTACAGTTCTTTGAGTCTATGGCCATGCTACCCTGAACAAGCCCGATCCCATCTGATCTCGGAAACTAAGCAGGGTCGGGCCTGGTTAGTACTTGGATGGGAAACCACCTAAGAAGACTATGTGCTGTAGGTATAAACAATAAAAAATAAGGGATTGTAAACTGACGAGGTCCTTGCAATCTGTGAGGTTAACCAAGAGTTGCTTCGCTAAAAAAAAAAAAAAAAAATTCCTATAAAATAAAATTGAAACTATAATTCAAGGCCCTTAATTATTTATTTCCATCATAGTCACGCTCTTAACTTTTGCCCACTAATCTTTACACATTCTTTACTTCAGCCAAACTTTTTTTGCCAGTTCTGTGCTTTACTTGCACTGTTCCTTTCACCTGGAAGACTTTTTCTGTCATCTCTCCATATATAATCCTTTATAGTCTTTTGTTTAAATGGCAACTATACATGAATACATTTTCCCCTGACTGAAGATAAGTCACCTCTTTTCTGAATTTCCATGGCATTTCATCTAGACCTCAGCCTTCCCTTTTTAGGCATTTAGTACTCTTT